AAACTGAAGACCTCAGCACTCACTGTGGTCATCAGAAGGCACATGCCCTGGGTTCCTCCAGGCAGCTGTTCCTTTCCAGTTAATTTATAGTTTTAACTCTTATGATTAAGACCATTAGTATTTAACGCTTATAACTGAAATCATTTCTAAAAAAGACTTATGTAACTCAATAATAAAAGCAACTTATTGAGCTGGGTGTGGTGGCTCACGCCAGTAATCCTAGCACTTTGGGAGGCCAAGGCAGGTGGATTGCCTGAGCTCAGGAGTTCAAGAACAGTCTGGCCAACACAATGAAACCCTGTCTCTACTGAAATACAAAAAATTATCTGGGTGTGGCGGCATGTGCCTGTAATCCCAGTTACTTGGGAGGCTGAGACAGGAGAATTGTTTGAACCCAAGAGGCAGAGGTGGCAGTGAGCTGAGATCGTGCCACTGTACTCCAGCCTGGGTGACAGAGTGACAGTCTGTCCCAAAAAAAAAAAAAAAAAGCAACTTATTGAATATGATATTCTCTCCTGACTATTACTTGAGATGATCTTTTTGAGCATCATTAAGATTCCACAGTGAATACTGAGCTAGCAAAAAAAAAAAAAAAAAAAAAAAAAAAGCATGGGACTTGGAATCTGGAGTGACGGGTTAAAATTCTGACCCCAAACTTACTCTTTTGGGACCCTGTGAAAGTCAATTTACTCTCCTGAACTCCAGTTTTCCTAGTGTGACTCTGTGGGGTTGATGTATGGATGAACGGGGAAAGTAAGGTGTTAGAATGTAGGCACCATGAAAGCAGACATTTTTTAACTGGTTTTATTCATCAGTAAATCCTTATCATGTATAGAATCATGCCTGGCACACAGGAGACATTCAATAAATATTTATGCTAATATTCCTAAGGATGCTTTAGGAACTGTAAATTAGTGTACAAATGCTTATGGCTGCTCTAATTATTGGAAAGCACAGCTAATCAGTGTGAATATGTAATCAATCTAGGACTCATATCAGGAGCTGAAGGAAGGAGAGAGCCACAAAGTCCCTTGCATCAGCTTGTTTTGATTTGCTATTTTTCTCTAAAAATGAAGTTTGATTCCCTCCCACCATCTTTAATATACATCCTGTTAAGCTTTGATTATTTGACACAAAGTTAATTGAGGTTTAAAAATAAAATATGCCTCCAAAGTTACTATATATCACTTTGCAGCTATCTTTCTGATGGCAAATGAAGGAACATCTGTAAGAGTACACAGAAATGCCACTTTCAATTCAGGGGTATCAACATTGAACCAGGCCTGGGATGCCAGAGCTCATGTTCACCTTCCAAGTAGACAAGGGAATCCTCTTACTGCCTGCGCAGCCTCCACTTCACCAACATTAGCCTTATTAAATCTGTCACATGGGGAACATTCAATCAATTTGTGTTCCAGTTTCTTCTCCTCTAGTGTAGGGTCACTGGATGTTTTCATCTGCAAGACACTGTCCCTATTACAAAGATGAATAGGAGAGGTCCTCATTCTTAGGAAGTGAACAATCTAGTTGGTACAAAACTACAGAGAGCCTCACATCACATAACTGAAAAATCCCCTTAAATCCTTAACCTGTCACAAATTTTCTGGTTTTAACTTTCAGAAAACAAAATTTTAAAAGCTCTTTTAGAAAAAAATCATGTTTTGGATACTGTAATTTTCACAAGTCAATATTTTGCACACACCAGTAGCCTTGTCTGTGTCTCTGCTCTAGAGCTGAAGCTTAGTGGGCTCCCTACCTGTTGGGGGCTGAAGCCACAAGGATCTAGGTCGACTCTGGGGGATCGTACCTCTCCAGCCTTCCAACTGCCCGACAGTGATGGAGTGTGGAGGATTACTTCAGGGGCTACCCACCTGGGAGACACAGTCACCTGGAGGACGCTGCAGACAAGGGTTGGGGATAAGCCTGTCTATGGGGTTGTGTAAGTGACAGCTGAGGTGAGACCTGGAGAAGGCATCGAGTTACCCAAAAGAAGAGTGGAAGGTGTTCCAAGCAGAGAACAGCGTGGGCAAAGGCCCAGCAATCCTAGAGAAAGTTAGGTTTGGGGAACTGAAAGTCATTATGGCCAGAGCAGAGAGTGCAGTGTGTGAACATACGGCAAGAGAAGAGGCTGGGGAGGGACTTGGTGGCCACGTCATTCGGAGCCTAATAATCGAATGAGGGAGTCTGGACTTTACTACTGAAAGATTTTAAACTGAAGAACAACGTGATTAGATGTATGGTTTTAAAAGATTATTCCGGTCAGTGTGGCAAATAGATTGAAAGAGAGTGAGACTAAGGCAGGGAGACCACCTGGGCTGTTGGTGTCTTCTTGGCAGAAGATGATGGTGTCCTGACTAAGGAAGAAGCAGTGGGAATGGAAAAAAGTAGATGGATTTGGAACAATTTGGAAGGAAGAATCTCCAGGATTTGGAGATTGGTTGGGGAAGAGGGAAGGAAAGAACTGGTCCCAGACATTGATGATGTTCAGATTCTGGCTTAGGAAACCAGTAGCAAGTGGGCCCTTCATTAAGATAAGGAAATAAAGAAAAGAGAAGTTTTGGGCAACTGGTGTGTGTAGGAAAGAAGTTCAGTTTTGCCCTTGTTGAGTTTGAGATGGATGATAAAAAGGTCAGCCCAAGAAGTGGCTTTTTTGTGGGATCTGGAATATAGGGGAGGAAGCATAAGCAATAATAACTTGAAACTGTTCTCAAAACCCTTTTAGAGTCAATTAATTCATTTATTCTGGGAGTGAACTTGGGAGCGAGATGCCTGTCTTGCAGGGGAATGCTGGGCACAGGCAGAGGCTGATGAGTTCTTCATCTCTAGGTCCTTTTTCTCCCTTTACTGTATAAATTTTACTTATTCTACTACGTTACAATACATATCATATATGTGCATGACTTAAAATAGTAACAAAAGAAAATATCATGACACACATAGAGAAGTTTCTAGAACTAAACACATACCTCGATGTCCAGCTTGCTGCCAGTTAGCTTGAAAAGGTGTTCAGGATTAAGGTGAAGAAAACAACCTAATAAAGCCAAGCTGCCTCTTCACTCCAGAGAGTTTCCTAAGCTATCACCCCTATTCTTTCTTCCGACACATCCTTGGAACTGAGACCAGGGCCAAGATGACCCAAAATGACCAGGCCATCTCCCCATTTCTAGCCATCCTAAAGCCTGGTGCACTTCTGGGACCCTCTTTAAATGTATTAATATAAAGAACTGCTAAAAAAGAAAGCTACAATATTCTGAACATACCAAGATAACTAAGTAATCAAAGAAATACATTAGTGAATCACATTCTAAATGAAACAATCTTCACTTATCTTGTTTAATAAATACATATTTTCACATTTCCATTCTTGTTCAATGGGGAAACTCTTTTAAGGCCCCTGAACTGAGACTTTGTTCTGAGGTCATAGATAACAGCACTGAGCTGTTCTAGTACCACCCGGATGTGGTTGCCAGAGGCCCCGTCTCGTTCCTCTCAGTGCAGGGCCTCAGTGATTAGATAGCACAAAGCCAGCTCTGGGAAACCTAAAATTGCCAGTCCAGTTTAAAATCTTTCTGGCTTTCCTCTTTGTAGAGGGAGAGGGAAATGGTTCATTTAGCTCTTCTGATAACTATATTTGCTCCACGACTATTTAGAGGCTTGTCCTAGTAACTAGATAATTAAAAATGGGCTTGAGGAGAGGAGAAAGGCAGTTCAAACAAGCAGGTATGCCAGCGCCACAAGAGGAGGACAGCAACAGTACCCAGAGCTGAGGAAATTCTGGTAGTCACCCAAGAAACACGAGTGAATGAGATACTGAGAAAAGACACCCGAAACATTGTTTTCTTAAAAACAAAATGGAGACTAGGTGTGGTGGTTCACACCTGTAATTCTAGCACTTTGGGAGGCTGAGGCGAGTGGATCTCTTGAGCTCAGGAGTTTGAGCCTGTGCAACATGGCAAAACCCTGTCTCTATAAAAAAAATACAAAAAATCAGCCAGGTGTGGTGGCAGGCTCCTGTATTCCCAGGTACTCGGGAGGCTGAGGCAGGAGGATCACCTGAGCCTGGGAGGTTGAGGCTGCAGTGAGCTGTGATCATGCCACTAAACTCCAGCCTGGATGACAGAGCCAGACCTTGTCTCAAAAAAACAACAAAAAAAAAAAAACAAAAAAAGGAGCATAATTTCCTTAAGTAATACCCCCTACCTCGTTCAATTTTATATTAAACATTTTCATTCATTCTCTTATCCAACATTTGTGACATAATAATTTTGGTATATCCTTAAGGTGAAATACTATTGTCTTTAAAACACTTTGGAAAAATTTTTTTGACATGTTCACCATATAATGACATGTGATAATGTAAATGACAAATAGAATGATTTCAATTAAATAGACATACATATGCATTTTAAAAGCGTGAAAGGATTCACACCAAAATGGCAGTAGTTATTATCTTTGGGAAGTGAGATTATTGGTTATCTTTATTTTCTTCATTATACTTTACTGTATGTTCCCAATTTTCTAAAAGTATTCAGTAATATTTAATAAGTTGAGTATCTGGTATGTGTCAAGTTCTGTGCCAGACTGTGGGGTGGAGGCCTTGGGAGGTGCTTAGGGAGGCTGACCTGGAAACAGGTTACAACTGTGTAGGAAATGCATCAGAAGCACAACCAGAGAGATGGTAAGAAGGGGCTGGCAGCAGTTAGAAAACAGCATCCCTAGGAAAGTTACATCTGGTAAAGTATTAAAGTTGACAAATTGTTCACCGGGTAGAGAAACATGGGCATCACATTTCAGAAACAGAAAATAACATATACAGATGTATGAAGGTGGCCTGCAAAAAACTAATCTAAATAATTAACAGGGGTTATCATAGGGGAAGAATCAGCATTTGGGGAAAAATGCTTATCTTCTCAAAGAATCGAGGAAATATTAATACAAACTAAAGTCACTACGAGACACTGCCTTGTCCATCAGATTAGCAAAGAAGAAAAAAGACTTACAGTAGGCGAGGGAGCAGTGAGTCACACACTCTGTTCTGGTGAGAATGGGGATAGGTCTGGCCATTCTCGGAGGCAATGCAGCAACATGTATTTAGGCTCAGCAATTTCTTGATTCTATAAAGCTGCAATCCAAAGAGCTGAATTTGAGATGTAGACAAAGATCTATGCATTCAGATGTTCATATTGATTTCATTCACTCATTCATCTATTTACTTTGGGCAGGGGGTTCACAGGTGTTCACTGTATTATTTTGCTGGCACATGTGAATATGTGTTCTTTTGTATGCATCAAATATTAAATAATTAAAAAATTTTAAAACCTGAGCTAAATATACATGTTACATTTTTATGGCACTTCCAAATCATTTCATCCTCATTATCTTATTTGATCATGACCTTTCTAAAAGTTGGGTAGGGGAAGCCTTATTCTGGGAAAATCATGAGCATGTGGTTCAGCATGCTACTACTTTCCCTGTCCCTTTTCTAGAAAATCTGATCCACTCTTAGATCTTGAAAAGTACAGCCCCATGTAGCACAGGATCTCCCACCACAACTGCTGGTTAGAGTGAGGCTATCTGCAATATCAAAACTAGAACCAACCTTGCATATCCACCAGTAGGAAAGTGTAACCTCCACTTTGGAATGAAGGATTAACATGTAGCCAGAAGGCATAATAGTTTTTGTTTTTGTTTTGTTTTGTTTTGCTTGAAATAGAGTTTCGCTCTTGTTGCCCAGGCTGGAGTGCATTGGTGTAATCTCAGCTCACTGCAACCTCTGCCTCCCAGGTTCAAGCGATTCTCCTGCCTCAACCTCCAGAGCAGCTGGGATTACAGGTGCCTGCTACCACACCCAGCTAATTTTTTGTATTTTTAGTAGAGACAGGGTTTCACCACGTTGGGCAAGCTGGTCTTGAACTCCTGAGCTCAGGCAATCCACCCACCTTGGCCTCCCAAAGTGTTGGGATTACAGGCGTGAGCCACCGCACCTAGCCCTGGTAATTTTTTTAACAGTGTAGATTTATGTAGAATTTGCCCCCAAATGGGTCTGTAATTTCTTTCTCATTTCCTTGTAATCCCCTAGTACTCTACCTAGAAGACACTCAGATGTAGTTAAGCAACTGATATCCTGAGAGAGCCCTCGGAAAATGGAGTGTGTTAAGAAAAATAAAAAAAACAAGAAAAAGAAAAAAAAAATTCACATCACTTTTTTCTCTTTTCCTAGTGCTGCATAAAGCACAGCTCTGTTGCAAGATAATATCTAACACTCAATTTGATAAACCTGTGTTGTCTGAGCACTTACTATGTGCCAAGCACTGAGCTATGTCCTTGAGTTGCTACCCAAGGTGAAATTTGAGTCTATCCAATTTTCTGACGTCTCTTGTCTCCACACAGGTGTCCACTAAACTATTTCCCCTACTGGTTATGATACATTACGGAATAATCTCACTTCCTGGGTGGAAAATAATTTATATTTCTCTCTTGACAACTGTGTTTCAATAGCCTTCCACTGACCTACATACCTCAGGTATGGGCGTGTGTGTATCTGGCATTTTCCTCCTTGCTGGGTGCCAACTTTATGAGACATAATCCACAAACAGTTCAAATACCTACTTACACTTAAGAATCTACCTGTCTATATATATCCAGAAGCTTCAGTCTCTCCCCACCCTTATGTATATTAGTGCTAATGAATATGAGCATTAAAACTAATCTGTTCATCACAGACTAACTTCTGATTGTCACAAACAACTATCTGACTGAATCATCTTTGGCAGTTTGATTCTTTTCAAGAAAAAACCTCTACTGAAAACGATTAAGATAAACTTGAGTTAAAATTCTCCCCCAAACATACTGATAGCCAAAAGGTGCTTAACCTATTGTAAGATTAACAACAGTACAATTAATAGTAATAGCTCCCATTTACTAAGTGCTTTACTGTGTGCTAGGCACTGTGCTACTCTCATTATGAATATCTAATTTTGACCTCACAACAGCCCATTTTACAGATGAGTGGACTGACTTCAGAAAGAAGTATATGGAGCTAGGGCTCCAATCCCGGGTCTGTCTCTATCCTCTAAATGCTAATATGTGATACTACCAACACTGTTTTAAAAAGTTTTCAATTGTACATGTAGATAGAACTTTTTCTATCTATATACCCTAATATATTTGTTTATAAATATGCATATATATGAAATTGGTAAATTTACCAGAGTACAATTATTCTAATAAACAACCTCAGAGTTCTATAGTTAAAATACGCCTGAACTCATTTTGTTGAAAGTCCCTGCTTTTTATCTGAACAGTGCCTACAAAACTTCAAAAAAAATCTGTTTGCATTTTACCAAAGCCCCTCAGTTCTTAAGGCCTTTTCTCCACACTGTCCAGGAGAGCTCAGAAGAGACACTCTTAGGGACTCAGTCGCCATGGCAACTGCCAAGCTGCAGGGCCTCCAGCTGGGAGGTGGGCCTGGAAGGTTGTGGAAAATACAGAAGGCAGCCCCAGGGTGGTTTCAACAGTTTCCCCGGCCTTGGCCATCCCACCAGGAAGCAGAAGGCACCCTGACCAGCCCCTCTGCAGAGATCAACCATGGCCGGCCTGGGACTGTTTTTCTTCTTTTTGAAGGGGTTAATGGGTAAAAGGAAATGGATCGCTCCATTTCTACGTAAGAAGGACAAGAAGATCATTTCTTACTGAAGAAACGAAGTGCAGAGGAACCGCGGCCACTGCTGCCCTCCACTCTCCTGAGGGCGTTCCCCTCGGCCCTCGCTCCTCCCTGCAGAGCGGCACTTGCACGAACTTCCCGCTTGGGGGTTATGGGAAGGGCCTCTGTGGATGATGGGAAAGCCCCGCAGGGGATAATGGGAAGGCCTCGCGGGGGATGATGAGGGAGACCCCTGCCAGAGGAAGATGGGCAGCCCCTTTTGATTTTTAAGCGGTGGAAGAGGATTTCCTCTCATTTTCCAGTAAGGAAAAACCTTCTGATGATGTCCTCGTCTTTCTGCCTCTCATCTTCCCACCACTCCCACGCCCCAGGAAAGGAGGAAGATGGGCTGAGCAAGCATTTTGAGGGCCTTCAGAATTGGAAAGTGCTGCTTCTGGCATTACCCGGCATTTCCAGGTCACTGTGGGGTCAGGGGTCAGGGATCCTGGGGCTCTGAGTGAGGCATCCGCTTGGCTTGATGAAGTCCTCCTGGGGTTTCCTGGGTACGCAGAGAGGTGCCCAGCGCTCCGACTGCCTCTTGGCAGCTGTGGCTTTCAGCTGAATCTGGGCTGGGGTGCAGCTTCTTTCTGGAAAGAGGAATTTAGAATCCAGTCCAGGTGCTGCTGCAGGAGGTGCTGGGAGGCCCATCCTGTTGTTCACCCCTTCTTGCCTTTGTCAATTATTTGGATAATTGCTAAACCCACAGTGTAGTGAAATTACTATAGATTGAAAGATTTGGGAGGGAAGACCCTGGCAAATTTGTACGGGATAGAGATCAAATTGTAAACCTTAGGATTTAATAGCTGTAGCTAGATGTCTAGTTGCTAAGGATGTGATCCAGAGCAGGGTTTGCTTAACCATGTAGTTTGCTTAAGCCACTCCCTGGTGTTTGCAATCCAAGGCATTTGAACCAGTGGTCCTCTGCTTGGTAGATGCTTTACAGTCACTGCCAGAAAACTAGTTATTTCTTTATCACAGATCTGGGAGGCAGTATAGTGATGAGCAACAGTTGCTCTTGGGTCTGATGGCTCGATTTGAATCCCACTGGCTGTATGATCTTGGGCAATGATGTTAACTGCTGTGGGCCAAAGTTAAGGCTGTTGAGGCAGAAATTGATAAAGGCTTATTGAAAGTCAAATTTGAAGATTGAATGGGGAAGGCACAGCAACAAAGTTGGGTGTGTTCCAAAGTCTGTTACAAGTTGCAATGGTTTTATAAGAAAGTTGAGGAATGGGAAGGGGACTCCTCATATTGGAGTTGTCTTTTTTCATTGGAGGGACGATATAGAGGCTACAATCAATGGCTACGGATGACAACATACAGGCTAAAATGTTTTCTGCGTATGCACAAGACAATCAGTGAAATGTCATGATTTAGAAACAAATCAGTATCCTTTTCAGTGTCAGTCGTTACGTATTAATTAGTACATCAACAGTCTGAGGAACTCATGATAAGATTTGAGAGATTCACAGTAAGATTTTTTACTCAAGTACAAAATGTGAAACATGAATCATAAGACCTTTTCCAAGTAGTTAAAATATTGTTTATTCTTTTAAGTATAGGGGTGCATGACTTAACTCATGCCTGGCATGGCCTTAGGTCCTGTTTATAAGTTGGTATCTTACTGCCACAGAGTCCATTCTGTCAGTCTTATGATCTCTAGTTTAACATTAATGCTGGTTAGTTGTTGTGTCTAAACGGCAAAAGGGTATTAGTGAGGCATTTCTGACCTCCCTTCCCATCATGGCTGATAACTCAGTTTTTAAGGTTTCTGGGGTCCCCTTGGTCAAGAGGGGGTCCATTCAGTTGGCTGTAGTGGGGCTTAGGAGGTTATTTTTAGTTTATACCCCTCTATAACTCCCTTTCCTTAGATTTACAATGGAGAAATGATAGTGAGGATTTAATAAGATAACTCATAAAATTCTTAAAACAGCGCCCACATGCAGTGTCAGAACTTAGTAAACATTGGTTACTGTCATTGTTAGGACAAATTTGAAAGTTGAATTTCTGACATTTTAAATGTAAAAAATGACTATTTATTTGCATATACTTGATTATGTTACCATTCTATATTTTTAACATTTAAAATACTTTTGGCATTTTATTATAAAAATAAGACATGCTCAATTGTAGTAACTGGGAAATTGCCAATATGTAGAGAAGAAAATAATAATCATTTATTATCCCCAACTCCCCACTTTTCCCCATAAGAAAAGCTGTTAAATTTTGGTGTTTACAACATTTTTATCTTTGCAACTAAAAAACGACATAATTTTGGATTCTTGTGTGTTGCTTGTAACTTGTGTATTTATTCAGTAAGTAATATATTTGGGCCTGATGATGGGTTATGTTTGTAAACTTTCATATTAGCATTGGGAAGATTCTCCAGGGGATGTGTGCTCTGAAAGATCAGCAGCTTATTCACCACGTGGATTTGGCTTCTGGGATTCTGCCATCAAGACTAAATCCTGTGGTTATTCAGTCACTCCTCCGCAGCTCCTGCAGCAACAACAAATAACACAGCTTTTTGTCTGGGATGATGGCAGAGGAAATGGGAGATCGTGAGGGGCCTTGGGCAGGCGGAGTGCGTCAGGTGAAGCAGAGTGCCAAGCCTGCACATGTACGTGCGTGTGCGCCTGTGATTTTTGTGGGTGTGTGTGAGTGGAGGGGAGCCAGGAGCGAGCGGAGAGGAGCGGAGATCCTTACGGGACCCCTGAGAGTCAAAGGCCCGAGGGGGCTGGTACTCCTGTCGGGGTCGGGGAATGATGTCAAACCCGGACGGACATCAGTGTAGGCCGCACCTGCTGAGAGGCCAGAGCTGCCTCCTTGAGAGTGAAGTTGTTTACGGACCAAAGAAGAGATCTTGGCGGACACATCTCTGCGATCCGCGAACCCCGAAGGGTCCGAAGAGCCTGGAAAGTAAGTGGGGATGGGCAGCACCCCCGGGGGGTCCTGCGAGGCCCGGGGACGGAAGGGAGCGTGCAGTGCCCGCACTGGGCAGGGGTGAAACCCAATCGAGAGTTGGCCCGGACGCGCTTCCCGCGTCCCTCCTCTTGAAGGCCCAGTACCCAGGTGGCTCCTTGTTGCGGCGTCACAGAACAGCCGACTAAAGTGATGGATTTCAGGGGCCAGCGACAGCGAGGTCCAGGTCAGAGACCCGGTGGGCAGCCAGGCACGGAACCCGCCCAGGCCCTGCCCAGTCCCCGCCCCCCTCCCTTCCCGAGCAGTGATTGGCCAAGGCGGCCCCTCGTTGCTATGACGGCACCCCAGTGCTGCCACTGGCTCCACCTCGTCCCTTCCGCCCCGCCCCTCTCTATTCCCGGGCGGTGATTGGTCGAGGCGCCCTTCCCGTTGCTATGACAGTACGCAAAGGCTGCCAGTGGCTCCTCCTGTGCCGTCCGCCTTGCCAGTCCCAGCTCCCCATCTTCCCGGCCGGGAGGGAGGCGGGGCCGGCCGCGTCTCCATGGCGACGCAGGACGCAGCGGTGGAGGCGGTTGCTACCCACCTGCTAGAGGCGTTGCGGCTGGGATCCAGGCTGGGGCGAGACCATGTCGGACCTGGGCTCGGAGGAGTTGGAGGAGGAGGGAGAGAATGATATTGGGGTGAGAGCTTCTGATGAGAAGGGGCTTCCCGGGGTGCGCAGCGGTGGGGGAACCTCGAGGTTGGGTTTGGAGAGTGAGGAGGGGCAGAAGCCAGAGGTCTGAGCCACAGCTCCCCAGGAGGCCCCGGCAGGGACGAGGACCACGCCAGACACACCTACGTGCATCCTGGAAGCTGGTGGTGAAAGGTGAAATGACATCTGGTTACCACATCCCGCCTCGTTCTTCCCCCACCCCCATCCTGCCTCCCATTAAAGGCAAAGATTTCCCAGCAGAAGGCTTTGGAAGTTTCCTCCTCCCTGTGTTAATTCCCATCGAGGCAGTTTTCTTAGATGAGCAGATCATCCCACGCTGCCATACTGCCCTTGAACAAGTCATTTCTGTAGCTGAGATTAGCTCCCTCGGCATTTGGATGCATGGAGGAAAGTTGCTTCCTGGCAGACTCCAAGAAATGCTGAGGAGGCCCTGGGCTCAGAAGAGGGTTCCTGAAGGTATTACCTTATAGGTGTATCCTCACATGTGCTTTCTTCAGTCCCTTCTGAACTGACCCAGGTCTTTGGAGTTATTTCCTGGCTTAGGCAGCAGAGAGGAGAAAGAGCTGCACACCCAGCCTGTGAGCTGGGTTCTGTGTGGGAATATTTCTACCACCCAGAAAGTAGTTCCTCCCTACTCCGTAGGGTGACCTCTCCATGGCTGACAGGTAGGGAACCTCAGCCGCTATGGTCTGCATGCACAGTAGAGTTGAGGTACTTTCAGAATTAACTGAAAAATCTAGCCACTCTGCAGTGGTGCTGTCAGTGCCTGCCCAGACTTTTTTGCTAGCTCTGGGCACTCATCTCCCAGCTTCTGCCTGATTTGCTGCTCAGCTACCACTTCTGTGCACTGGAACTACCTGCCCAGTATGGAGAGCCAGAAGTGCCTGAAATTCACATCCAGCCAGACAGCCAGTAGCTAGTGCAAGAAGCAGGACAAAGTCTGCAGTGCAATTGATGCCCCTAGAGTGCCTGCTGGATTAGGCCAAGTCTGGGACTTCACCTGCAATGGCATCCTTCCTTAGCTGCCTGCCCTTTCATGTCTTCTTCCCTGCCCTCTTTACTACTTTCTCCCAGGAGAGCACTGAAAAAAATCAGGCCAGGCGCAGTGGCTCACGCCTGTAATCCTAGCACTCTGGGAGGTCGAGGTGGGCGGATTGCCTGAGCTCAGGAGTTCGAAACCAGCCTGGGCAACACGGTGAAACCCTGTGTCTACTAAAATACAAAAAATTAGCTGGACATGGTGGCAGGCACCTGTAATCCTAGCTACTTGGGAGGCTGAGGCAGGAGAATGGCTTGAACCTGGGAGGCAGAGGTTGCAGTGAGCCGAGATCACGCCACTGCACTCCAGCATCGGTGACAGAGCGAGACTCCGTCTCAAAAAAAAAAAAAAAAAAAAAAAAATCGCTTGTTCAGGGTCTGCCTCTAGGTGAGCCCAACCTGTAACACTTGCACAGACAAACAAGCTTTCTAGTTTATCTCCTCAAATGACCCCACTGAATTTGTAACTTTTTACTGCCTATAATTTTTAGGTTCAGATCACATTTGGGGTCATTTTAAAGGATTTCTCTCTCATTCAGCCAGCCCAGCGGCTCAGTGTTGGATGTATTGGGAAGCCTCTTGGATGGAAGGAGGGGACTTTTGTACATTTTGATGTAAACTAACCCTGAAACAAATCTGTAAGGTCACCGATTTTTATCTTATATTCTAGGCAGGAATTAGTGGGCCAAACAGTGCTAGAAAAGGGAAAGAATTGAACAGATGTTTATTTCTAAAGTCCTCATTGTAGTGTGTCAGTACTTGTGTTATAATAAAATTATATACATCCAATTCCATTTTTAATTTTAATTTTTAATAAATTTTATTATGTATATTTAAAAAATACAGTGTGATATGAGAGGCCTGTGTTAAATCATTACTGGATGCTTTCAGCATGTTATTATTTACTACATTCACTCTATACCCATGTATTAGGTGGTAAGGAATGTTTATTTTCTGAAGGATAGGAAAATTGCAAGCTTTGGTTACATTTTTTATTGATTTACTTTTAAGATAGACACATAATTGAGCTGGCATGGTGGCTCATACCTGTAATTCCAGAACTTTGGAAGGCCAAAGTGGGAGGATCGCTTGAGTCCAGGAGTTTGAGACCAGCCAGGGCAATATAGTGAGACCTTGTCTCTACAAAAAAAAATTAAAAATTAGCTGGGAATGGTGGTGCATGCCTGTAGTCCCAGCTATCAGGAGGCTGAGGTGGGAGGATCACTTGAGCCTGGGAGGCAGAGGTTGCAGTGAGCTGAGATTGTGCCAACTCCAGCCTTGGCAACAGAGTGAGGCCCTGTCTAAACAAAAACAAAAACAAAAACAAACCATAGATAGATATGTAATTATTGCAGCATTGGGTCATGAGTGTTTGAACCTTAAGTCTCTTGCTAGGGATTTTAAAAATAAGATAAACTTAATTGACAAGAGAGCCCTGTGTACTTCTCAGTGCACTCCTACCTGTCCCTTCCATCAGATATTCCTTGCAGGGCAAAGGTCTCTTCAGGCCACACCCCACCCCAGGGATCATTTGAGGGAAGAGTTGCTTCTCTCAGGGCATTTGCCTTTGAAATCATGGATTACTGAAGGAAGCAAATGGGGAGGTATTTTTGTGTGGAACTATTCTACCTGCAAGTGCTATTTCAAGCATGTTCCTCCTAAAAACACAGCTTAGAGTATCTAGCATTTTTCACAAATTGGTTAACCTTGTTGACAGGGTAAAGGGTTATCACAGTGATTGCAAGCTCCTTGCTGGAGGGAGGGAATGAGGCTTCCGCCCTGGACATGTGCTGGGGTGTGGCCTTGGACCAGTGCCTCATCTAGCCCAGGCGTGGTTACCTACCTCAGCTGTAAGGTGGGAAAGGTGGGACAATTGAGTATAGTGCCAAGGATTTAGTATAGTGGGATGATTCAAGGGTATGATATTTATAAAATGCTTAGCATCTGGTTAGCGCATAATGAATGGTAGCTGTAATTGTGTCAATTTTCATTACCTAGGAATATGAGGGGGCTCGGAATGAGGCAGGCGAAAGGCACGGACGCGGGAAGGCGCGGCTACCTAATGGGGACACCTATGAAGGGAGCTACGAATTCGGTAAAAGACATGGCCAGGTCAGAACTGTTGACTTGACTGGATGGTTTTCTCTATTTAATGCTCTGTTAGTAAATGCTACATTCAGCAATGACATGAATGATATAATCAATGTGTTTCAGGGGACCTACAGATTTAAAAATGGTGCTCGATATATCGGAGAATATTTTAGAAATAAAAAGCACGGTCAAGGCACTTTTATATATCCAGATGGATCCAGATATGAAGGTAAAATGTTATCACTAAGCAGATTTTTGTGTTGCAGAAGTTTGTTTTTGTTTCTTTATAATTGAACTTGTCTGTGAATACTGACATGTATGAGAAAGCTGAAAGTGCTCCAGATTAGTCATTCAACGAACAGATTGTGTTACTATATTCACAGGATTGACGCAGAAACATGAAAGGCTTGTAATTAATTAACTCACTAATGAATCTGTAGTGGGAAATCTGTCCCTGTGGCCAGCATGTCCATGTTCTGGGAGCAGACAAAAGGGAGGCTGCTGGGTGAATGCAGGCCTCGGAGCTGGTGGACCCACGGCTTCAGCTGCTCTGCGGCATTCATCTTCCTGAACCTGTCTTTGCATTTTCCATTTCTGACCAACCCCGCATCTGACGGATGTGTTATTTCTTTAACTCGAGTGTTTCCTTACATCAGGGCTTCCTGTCTGGGAGTCGTCCTGCCTTGTTAAACTGACTTTTCCTATCTGTGCCGTAATTCCTTACAGGCCAATGTTATGTTTGAGGAGGATTCTTTTTCCTTTATTTCCAAGAGCCTCCCTGCTGCCCCTTGTGCCATTGTCACCTGGTGTGATCACACATTAGTGATATCCGAAACCTGGGAAGGGGGACAGGCAGGGAACGAGCTGTGAGTCTTCAGAAAGTGTATGCAAAATTCTGTGTTCTGGGCTTTTTGTTTTTTCCCTAGGAAGAAGGAAATTGTATAGTTTTCTTCAGATTTCCAGAAAGATCTGTGGCCCTGTCCTTGTACTCTGGTGACAATAGGTGTGACCTTGCCTCAGCTTTCTCCTCTGTAGCATGGTGAGGCATCTGCAACCGTGCCTGATCCATAGTGAGCGCTCAGTAACAGGCTAGGACTGTGAGGTACCACGTGTGACAGCATCACTTCTTAGTGAGGAGGACATATTCTTAGAAAGTGCAAGCTATAGTTGCTTGCTTTGCTCCTAGATAAAATAAGAACCAGTAGGTGGTTCTTATTTTAATAGATGTCAGTGATGATTCTGTCCAATTCTGAAACCACGATGGAGGGTGTTAATATCGTCCCTGTTAGACAGAATTTGTTTTGTTTTGTTTCATAAATCCCAGAAGGCTTGCTCTATAAGAAGCACCATCTGCTTTTTAAATCAACTTTAAACAATTTAATTTGGGGCTTAATTTAACTCTTTCCAAATTCTTATGCACCTAATCTCATTCTTGTCCCTTTTGATTTTAGTGTAGATATCGATATAATTTGAACAACACACACACACGAAGATATTTAGAATAAGGGATTTAAGGAATTTTGAATATGAAGGTTTAAAAGGGGTAACTGTTTCTCTGACACCAAATGCATGGATTTTCCATGCTATGTACTTCTCCAGTCTTCTGTGTACACCAACTGAGTTTCCAATGATGCAACTCCATTCTGACACCACCCAGAGTTAGCACAGACCCCACAGGTTAAGGGCTCAGTTTCCAAGACTGCCCCACTTCAGATGTCAACATCAAGTTGTGGATCCCTAGGGTACCCGTGCTTCTATCTGACTCAGCTACAAATTGGGGGTTCCTACAACACCCTACTCAGGTTTGATATGTGCCATAGTGGCTCATAGGACTAAGGAAAACACTTTACTTAGGTTTACTGGTTTACTGTAAAGGATACTATAAAGAATATGGACGAACAGCCAGATGCAGAGGTACACAGGGAAAGGCCTCGAAGGTTCCCAAGCATAGGAGCTTCTGTCCTTGTGGAGGTGGCATGCACCATCCTCCTGGCTCATGATACGTTTACCACCCCAGAAGCTCATCAAATCTTGCTCAAGAGTTTTTATATAGCTTAATCTCCAGCCCCTTCCTTCTTCTTTCCCAGAGTTGGTGGGTGGGGCTGGAGGTTCCAACCTTCTTATCACTTGGTCTTTCTGGTGTTCAGTCCCATCTTGAGGCCATCCTGGGCCTCATTTGCATAAGTTCAGGTGTGGTCAAAAAAGTCTCATTTTGACTGACAAAAACATTTCTATCAGTCAGGAAATTTCAAGGGTTTTAGGAGCTCTGTGCTGGGAACCATGAATAAAGACCAATATTTCTTTATTATGCCACGCTAACATATAAAGCTCATCTGGTAACAGTTGGGATTTTTGATTCTCCAGATGGCTTTGTATCTTAAAGGGCGCAAGGTATAGCCACTACCCAGAGACTTACTCTTTGACAAAAGCTTAAATAAGTATCTTACTTCATTAAGGCAGTAATGGAAACTGAGGTCAGATTGTAACAGAGTAAGCCAATACTCTTCCAATCACAAAATCTCAGTTAATGTGTGACTGAGTTATTCATAACAGTGTATCTTGGCTGGCTGCCATCACAATGGGCCAGAATGGTTTTGTGCAGGTCAGTGTGTTCAATGTCAGAACCCTGCGGCCTAAAGCCCAGTACCCTACCTGTCTCCCAGATGGTCAGACAAGTCCAATTAGGGAATCCAGGAACCAGCAGAGGCTACAGTGCTGCAGGAGAGGAGTGGGGAGACAGTCCTGGGTGGCGGGTGACTTGGATACAGGCAGGAAGGCAGAGGTTTTTAGGGGTAGTGGGAGATGAGATGGAGGGGAGAGTGGGTGCCAGATGTTGGGCAGGCATGGACCCCATGTACTGATTCTGAGGGTTGGGGGTTTAGGGCCAGCTGAGGACTCTGAGGTTAAGGAGGAGAAAGAGCATCGCTGTTCCCTCCTGGCCTTGTTACCTGTCAAACAGAACTCATCAAAACACAGAAGTTTAATAATGACATTGTGGAGAAACGAGAATGATATGATAACTTGAAGCTGGGTTTTTTGGAAGCTCTCAAATGGCAGGAGCTGTAAAAATGAGCACTTGACTCTTGGGATGCTTGTGGAGAAGAGAGCATGGTGTTAGAATCAGACAGACTCCAATTTTCATTTCAGTCTTGCTACCCACCAGCTGTGGGACCTTGGGCAATGCATACAGTCTCTCTGCTTTTCAGGTTCTGCATCTGTAAAACCGTATTTCAGCTATTACACATACCAAATGCTGTGGCAAGTGCACGGAACCCTGCCCAGGGTCTGACACTGCGTGTTTCCCCATAAGTGTGGGCTTCTTCTCTCCTGTGTTTGACTTACCCAGCAGTGTAGGGAGCCAGCGTGGCAAGACCATGGGCCAGCCTGGCACACCAGTGATCAACCAGCATTTGAGGTGGGAGGAGCATCTTGGAGAGCTTCTCATTTTAAATTGTCTTCAATCCCAAGTGCCAGACACACTGCTCTACCCGAGGAGCACCCAGCTCCACACCAACCAACTGACCCACCAACCAGCCAATCAAACAGCCAACCAGTCACCCAACCAGTCAACTGACTAGCCAACCAACCAACCAGCCAACCAACCAATTAACCAATGAACCATCTAACCAACCAACCAACTAGCCAGCCAGCCAACCAACCAACCAACCAACCAGCCAAGCAAACAGCCAACAAACCAACCAACCAGCCAACTGACTAGCCAACCACCCAGCCAACCAATTAACTACCCAATCAGCCAGTTAACCAACCAACCAACCAACCAACCAACCAACCAACCAACCAACCAATCGGTTAATCAACTAACCAACCAACCAGCCAGCCAGCCAACCAACCAGCCAACCAGTTAGCCAACCAACCAGCCAACCAGTTAACCAACCAACCAACCAACCAATTGGTTAACCAACTAACCAATCAACCAACCGGCCAGCCAACCAACCAGCCAACCAGTTAACCAACCAATCAACCAACCAACCAACCAGTTAACCAACCAACCAACCAACCAACCAACTGTGGGAGTTACTCCTGAAGAGAAATATAGTTGGAAAAAACCTCAGTTGACAAGGTTAAGAATGATCAGAAAGTATAGGATTGGGGTAGAAAGACTTTAAAAAAAAAATTAAGTGCAAATTTAAAGCCACGATAATAAAGTTTATAAATGTCATTCACCTCAAAAAAGGAAACTTGACTCATAGCTGTTAGAGATGTGCCTCAGCAGGTGACTTTTCTCTGAATTACCTTCTCCTTTTGTGCAGGGTCCCTGTGGTGGCATTACAAAACGCTGGGCAGAGCCTCTTAACAGGTTTTTTAAGTAGATTGGGACTTTAAAAAATTTTGCTCACAGTCCTCATGGTGCAAAACTTAGTGTCTTTTGCAACATTATTGTTCTCTTTTATTTTTGAAAATTTTCTGCAAAATATATAATATATTTTTCTTGCAATGACACCCTGGAGACCCTCTGACATGGCCAAGAGAGGAGGGATATAATAATGTTGTCATGATCTTTTGTTGGGAAGAAACCAAATGATGTACCTGTTTCAGCTGAGGTCTCTGTGCCCCAGGGCTGTGCTGGAATCACTTCATAATAGCTCACAAAAACCCATTCTATGCATCTCTTCCCAGCTCCATGTGTAGCTTGAAATTGGCCACAGTGTGAATATTTACACCACAGAAACTGGCAAATGCTACAAATCCAGGCACATCACTGCCCCTTAAGATCCAGACAAATCCCTCTAGGTATTTGCACATCCTCGTGGTTACTTTAGGTTCAGGCACCTGAAGTATTTTTTACCGAATTATCTCAGTTTGGAGATCTTCATCTCTCTTGTTCATGTTGTTCCTGTCACACATCACATCATGGGGCCTAGTCCTCTTCCTTAATTGTTAGCGGTTGCCACCTTCCCTCTATGAATTTTTGGTAAGTCTGCTCTTTTCTGAATGACTACCCACTTTTTGAAGTCGTGCCATGTAGCTTTTTGTGCTGCCTTCCCTGTCCTCGGCTGCTGCTCAGGTGCCAACCTCCCATCCCCAGGCTGGCGCTGGCGCCCTGGGGACATGCACTGTCCTTTGTACAACTGTTTGTTCATCTCACAAAGTGCACAGGACATTGTAGGTGCTGAGTAAATACTGGAATGATTGAGGAAATAAATATGTAGAAATTCCTTCTGTAGGTAAATTTTGGGGTTATTCACGTAAACAAATATTGCTTGAATAATTAGCATTTTCTTAGCCTATTGGGTATTCTTTATCTTCATGTGGAAGTAGGTCCAGTTTTTGTGTAAGCCAGAAGCTTATATACATTTTGGGAACCCTCTTTAAGAAAAACAAAATATAAAGTTGGTATAAAAGTGAATTTTCATTTGTAATGATAAATCAAAATAAGTTAAAAATTTAAAAATACCACAAACATCACAGAATCTAAGTAGCCTGAGTTTTAATGTCTGACATACTTCTAGAATAGCTTTTCTCTACCTTTTGTTAGCTAATACTCTTTGAATGCTTCTCCATATGGCAACCATTTTGTAATGTTTTCTATAGAGAGAATACAAATATAATTCCTTCTTTTCTCTTTGATCAATAAATTGATCAACACTTGCTTTTTATTATTCATAGTCTCAAAACGTATCATTTAGCTTAATGACTTGGTGTAATATGCACGTTTTTAAGAGATGTCTCCTTTGGGAGACCTCTATTAATTTTCTTTCATGGCCAGGCGCGGTGGCTCACACCTGTAATCCCAGCACTTTGGGAGGCCGAGACGGGTGGATCATGAGGTCAGGAGATCGAGACCATCCTGGCTAACACGGTGAAACCCCGTCTCTACTAAAAAATACAAAAAACTAGCCGGGCGAGGCGGCGGGCGCCTGTAGTCCCAGCTACTCGGGAGGCTGAGGCAGGAGAATGGCGTAAACCCGGGGGGCGGAGCTTGCAGTGAGCTGAGATCCGGCCACTGCACTCCAGCCCGGGCGACAGAGCCAGACTCCGTCTCAAAAAAAAAAAAAAAAATTTTTCTTTCATATGTGAGCTGTAAGATTTAGGACATTTTGAGTTTTCTAGTGCAGGGATTCATACTGTGGTTGACAACAGTAGTTTGCAGTTGTCTGCATTGTGGAGTAGTGCTATGAGTTTTATGATATCCTTGCCAATTTCAGTACTTCCTACCAAGCCTCTGAGGACTTAGCAGAAGCCTGTATGGAGGTGAGGAGGTGAGGGAAGAGGCATGGCTCAGCCACGGCATGGCTCAGCCACGGCATGGCACTGGCGGATAGAGCTGCTGTGCAGCTGGGGTTAGGGTGGCACGTTGGAGCCAGATGATTGGGTGGGAGATAGACTGAAATGCTGGCAGGTGGCTGAGGATAGACGATCAAGCCCTAGAGTTGTTGCTGGATCACTAAACATTTGCAAGGTAAATGAAGTGTGGTGTTAGGATCACTGGCAATGGGTCAGACAACGCTGGTTTGTCTCCCTCCTTGTTGCGTCTTCGTGGTGCTTCTGACTAACCTGTGAATTGTGCTTGTTAGTACATGCAGGTGGCTGTGGCCCACATCCACACACCTCATTCTACCTGTACCCCGTGAATGCCTGACTCAGCCCTCCTTTAGCCCACTCTCCACCGTGACTATGGCCCACATCTATACACCTCACTCTACCTGTACCCCGTGAACGCCTGACTCAGCCTTCCCTTAGCCCACTCTCCACCGTGGCTCAGCACCCATGCCATCTGGCAGAAAAGGAAGAGGGGTGGAGGGACATTAGAGTGGAAACAGACAGCAGCCTTGGTCGGTGCTGTTAAAAGTCTCTCTTCTGCAGGGTTTCCCGAGCAGAAGGGGCCTGTGTGTGCATGGGGCCCCGGATGTAGCTTCATTTGCTTCACAACACATCCACCTCTGCCATGGTTAACAGTTTGAAGACATAGTACAGGGCATCGATCCCTTCTTCTCACCTGGGCTTGCCTTTGTGTTGTTCCTTTCAGGAGAGTGGGCAAACGACCAGAGGCACGGCCACGGTGTATACTACTACGTCAATAATGACACCTACACTGGAGAGTGGTTTACTCACCAAAGGTTCAGTTTCTATCTTGAGTCTTATGGGATTTGCTTATGTAGTGAGAACATGATGTCTGCAGATTGTTTACACTTATTAAGGAACAGAATCATAACAAAAGCCCAGTTACCAACTCTGCCAGGCAGGTCCAATCTTCCTATGGCTTTGAGGCAAGGATGCCTTTCTGTGCAGGTGTAGACTCAAGTAACTGATATCTGCACCTCAGTTGGGGCTGAGCACATGAGTCTTTCACTGAAGAGCCCTAGGGGAACCTGAACCAGAAGAGCCACTGGGGAACCTGAGCCGCAGCTCCCACTAGCTCTGCCTCTTCCCTGGGGAAAGCGGCCGACACACAGAGGCTTGCCTCTGTCCAGCCGGCCTGTCCTCTGTGCCTCTGGCAATGTCCTGTGCTTGGGGCACACTGAGCAGGGGGCACCTTCTGACTAGACACAGATACAGAAGCTACATCGCTCTTGAGCCTGCATCAGCCTGGGCCCCCCTCAATGTCAATGTCTGTGTTTTAAACCTGGGAGATTTTTCACTGTGCTGGAACAAAATACCATGTTCCCCTTGTCTTAACCAGGCACGGGCAAGGCACCTATTTATACGCGGAGACGGGCAGTAAGTATGTTGGCACCTGGGTGAACGGACAGCAGGAGGGCGCGGCCGAGCTCATTCACCTGAACCACAGGTACCAGGGCAAGTTCTTGAACAAAAATGTAAGTCCATGGGAAGTGACATTTGCCAATAAAGTGCAAAATAACCCCCTCTGGCAGCCTGTGCAAATGTGTGATCGGAGAATACTAAAAACTCAGAGAAAACTGAGTCCAGCCTATTCAAATGTGGGGAACAAGACAGCTGTGCCATTCTCTGAGCCTCTGGTACCCACAGAGGACAGAACTGGGGGGAGGGAGGGTTTGGCCCATTTCTCTGGGTCTCAGTACAAACTCCCACCGTCTTTCAGCGGGGACCTGTTGCATTGTTATAGAACACGTGGGGGCATCGGAACCTCTTGTGTGTATTCCTTCTCATCGGTAAATCAGATACCAAATATCTATTTCCTGCAATTGAGCACGGAGGGGTTTGTGTTTTGTTTCTCTGGAAGGGGTGGTGCGCCATCCCTGGGGAGGAAGACCCCCAGCTCCCTCCTCGTGCTGCAGGCCAGCCTGCATGCTCCTAGTCGTGGTGGGAATAGAGGCTGCCGAGGGCCTGGCCCTGGGTCTGGAGGCTTGCCAGCTTCCAGCACCCACGGTGGGCCGTTTCTGCTCGGAAGACTTGGTGGTTCCTTTTGCCCTTCTTGTACAGAGAAACCTTGAATAATTCAGAAGCTAATACTCAGGCCGTTGTGGCAGCTCTGATCAGGGGTTGAGCAGAAACTTTCCCTGAAGAGAGAATTTGCGAGCACATTGGTGGTGGTAGAAGTTGACAGAGGGAATGTTTAGCTGATTTAATGAAGTCTCTTCAGACTCTTAGAACCCAGTTTTCATTTATATATAATTCATGCCCTAACCACAGATTTTACTTTTAGTCTTCATTAAAACAGCACATTCCCCTCAAACCCACACATTGTTTATATAATTCCCAGCAAATTTCTGTGGGTCTTTTTGGAGGAGATGGGAAGGTGGTTGCAGAGGAAGGGAATTTGATGAAAATGAATCTGGAAGAATCAATCAGCTTGTCCAGCCTAAACCAGTCTGAAAAACCAGGGTTAAAATGGAGGCTTTGCTTTGCTAGTTAGTAAAAAACTTTAAATTGTACAAATAATACACAAGTACATTTCAATTGTAAAGCATTTAAACACGAGGATCCTGCCCCACTGCCCTGGGCCCAATCCTTCCATGCTATTTCTGTGTGTCATGTAAGTACATTCTAATACAGTCATCTGACACAGAATTATTGTTTGGGGGTTTTAATTACATAATTAGGATCATACTGTATCGGGATACAAAAATATACATAAAGATACATCTTTGTCATTTTGCACATTTGAGACTATTATGTAGGTTAGATAATGGAATTGTGAAACCTTTGAGGATTGGCATTTAAAATCACAATCAGTAGTGCCCGTTTTCCTAAAAACTGGTGTCAGTTAATACTCTTGCCAATAGAATATGAGTCTCTTTGGCATATATTCTCATCAATATTGGATATTCTCAGTCTTTAATGTTGTTTTTGTTTTTTTTCCAATCTTATGCGTAAAAAATGTCATCTCATTGTTAAATTTGTACTTCCCCGATTACTAGTGAGTCAAACATCTTGTCACCCATTTATTGCTGGTTTGTGTGTCTTCCTCAGAAAATTCCCTGTACATGTCCTTGTGGACAAGTTATCAGTACTACAAAGCTTCAATAATTAAAACAGTGTGATACCAGGATGCACACACACACACACACACACACACACACACACACACACACCGATGAAGCAAATTAGAAAGTCTAGAGACAGGTTCCAGTACATAAAATAATTTCACACACAATAAGGATGTCAAATTAATAAAGGGATGATGGGAGGAGTCAAGACATAGTGCTAGGAACTCTTGATAATTATTTGGGAGGAAAATAATAGTTTTGCCTTCACACAGATGAAGATACTTTCCAGAAGAAGTAAAGACTTAAGTGTACCCTAGGAAATATAGAAAAAAATGTTGATGAATATTAACGTTGAAATGAGGAAAGAGAACTTTCTAAACAGAAATAGAAAGGAAAACCCAGTAAGTTTAGCTTCATAAAAATAACTTCTTATAGATTAGAAAATGCTGTAAAGAAAATCTGAGAGATGACTGTCAAATGGAAGAGAATATTTGCAACATTTAATATATAAAGTGTTTTATCAATCAATGTGATTTAAATGGCTGAAAATCTTGAAAAAATGCAGGCTTACTAACACAGAAATGAAATGAATTAAAATTGTGAGACCCCATTGTTTTATATAAAAAAACATGTAAAAATAGAAAATTTTTACACTCCTAAAATCAAGAGTTTGAGGATCTGGGACTCTTAAGTGCAGTTGTGGGAATGAAGTGATCAGAGCCTCATCTAATCAAAATACATGTATGCTTTTGTCCAGAAATTCTGAGAATTTAAGAACGGTATCAAAAGCGTACATAAAGTTGTAACTCAGAGTATGTTTACCGGAGCGTTCTTTGTAAAAAAAAAAAAAAAAAAAAAAAAAAAAAAAAAAAATCAGTATCCCAAATACCAACAATGGTAACTGAGTAAAATAGGTTACAATCCATAGATGAAATAAAATACCAGGTGGCAACTGGTGTTAGGAAAGAATATTTGTAAATATGAGAAGTAGTTCATGCCCTATTTCTCAGTAAAAATAGAGTGTGAGTTAGTATGTACAATTATGATCAGATTTTTATTTAACAATGTACACTAGAAGCAAAGTTACAAAGAATGCATCAACATATTAGTAGTAGTTCCATCTCTAGCTAGTTTGCCTGTGGATGCTGACTCACTGAGGTTTTCTGAAAATGAATACAGCACTTTTATAAAAAAGTAAAATGTGGTTAAAGTTTTCAAAAGTAAATAAAACAGGGCACATACTTCCCAATTCCATTAGCCATGCGTTCATAAAAGCATTCTTTCATCTATGTTAGACTTTACCCAATTTTGTGATTTGAGGTGGGTATTGTGGTGGTGACATTTTTATTTTGTATTTTCTGCTGGGTATTGACATTTAAGAATAGTTTCTCTTTGCTCGCAGCCTGTTGGCCCTGGAAAGTATATATTTGATGTTGGGTGTGAACAACATGGTGAATATCGTTTAACAGATATGGTAAGTTGCAAAGCATGTATGGGGTTTTTACATTAACAGGCAAGTAGCTGCTCAAAACTATTGATCCTACAAGGTTGGAGGTGATTTGCCTAAAAGTTCTGCCAACTCTTAGGAACTTTCCCATTTTCATTTTCCTTGGTTGCATGTGTTAGTACAGAACTAAATTGCCAGAAGCAAACAATATCATTTCCCAGTTATTGCAGAACTCTAGACTTTGTTGATAGATACCGTTTTTGTCAATAGAAACTAATCCTGGCTGGGCACAATGGCTCACGCCTGTAATCCCAGCACTTTGGGAGGCCGAAGTGGGTGGATTGCTTGAGGTCAGGAGTTCGAGACCAGACTGGCCAACATGATGAAACCCTGTCTCCACTAAAAATACAAAAATTAGCTGGGCATAGTGGTGGACGCCTGTAATCCCAGCTACTCAGGAAGCTGAGGCAGGAGAATCGCTTGAACCTGGGTGGCGGAGTTTGCAGTGAGTCAAGATCACACCACTGCATTCCAGCCTGGGTAACAGAGTGAGACTCTGTCTCAAAAACAAACAACAAACAACAAATAAACTAACCCTGAGTGGGAGGGTTCTAAATAGCATTAGGTCCCAGAAGTGACAACTGAATCTGTAACTGGTGTTGCCACAGTTTATCCAATGGCTGTTAGCTTGTCCAGTGTGTGGCATGCTCCTCTGAACGTGCCATTGGTAAGTCTTTCTCTCTTTTTTTCCTTTCCAATATCTAACATTAATATTAACACTACATTGGCATTGCCTGGTTGATAGTAAAGCTAGTCAGCTAATATTGCCATTATAAGGCATCAAGATATGTGTATGTGTGTTGAGGTGGGAATATCTGTGTTCCTGTTCCTCTCATTATTAATGTCTGACCAATCCCTGTAGATAATTAGAAATTCAGTAACACTTCCTGACCCTGGTGCTGGTTTTGATCCTTTTGACTTATTTCTTTAGCTGAGGTCATTCTCATGGTAAGAAGTTTTGAGTTTTAAGGAGGAGCGTGAACCTGGCAGGCACACGTGTGGAATCATGCTTTTGTTTGCTTTTTGGTCTCTGAAGTTTTCGAGGCGTCCCTTCCTAGTGAGTTAAGAATATATTATTGTACACAAAGTCTCCCATATCTGCATACTTCCTTTCTGAAGAAAGCCGGGGAACGGATTATTGGGGCCCACCATCACATCAGTGCCCTTTCAACCTGGGTTAGTCCTTTTTGTGCTGCTATAAAGGAATTCCTGAAGCTAGGTAGATTATAAAGAGGAGAGATTTATTTGGTTTACGGTCCTGCAGGCCGTACAAGAAGCATGGAGCCAGCAACCGCCTGGCCTCTGGGGAGGTCTCAGGAAGCTCCCGCTCATGATGGAAGGTGAAGGGGAGCTGGCACCACAGCTCAAAAGAGGAGGAAAAGAGAGGGGAGGAGGTGCTGGGAATTTTTTTTTTTTTTTTTTTTTTTTTTTTTTTTAACAACCAGTTCTTGTGTGAACTAATAGAGCAAGAACTCACTCATCACCACAGGGAGGGCACCAAACCATTCATGAGGGATCCGCCCCCTTGACTCAAGCACCTCCCACCAGGCCCCACCTCCAACCCTGGGGGTCACATTTCAACATGGGAATTGAATGGGACAGACACCCAAACTGCCGCAACCTGAGCCGAGTCATCTTGTTTTGTTTTCTCATTGCTGTGTCCCTCTTCAACCCCTTGGCATCACCCAGAGGCCCTGCTTTAAACCGACTCCTCGTCACCTTGGGGTTGGCTGTGAGGCTGGGGAAGGCCCCCCTTGGTCACAGGAGGTAGACGTCACACTGCGGGGAGCTTGGAAGGCTGCGGGAGATCCTGTGCACGAGGGTCTGTCCTGCACCTGCTCCGTGCCGCCCACTGCTGTCTCTACCTAGTGCTCCATCCTTTCACCCCAAGGGCCCTGGCCTGGAATCCTAAGTCTAAACTCATCACCAGTTTTTCAATTCAGTGCTCTCCACAGTTTTTTTTTTTTACATGGAGTTTCGCTCTTGTTGCCCAGGCTAGAGTGCAATGGCGCGATCTCGGCTCACCGCAAACTCCACCTCCCGGGTTCAAGCGATTCTCCTGCCTTGGCCCCCCACCCCCGCGCCGAGTAGCTGGGATTACAGGCATGTGCCACCACGCCCAGCTAATTTTGTATTTTTAGTAGAGACGGGGTTTCTCCATATTGGTCAGGCTGGTCTCAAACTGTCGACCTCAGATAATCCGCCTGCCTCAGCCTCCGAAAGTGGTGGGATTACAGGCGTGAGCCACCGTACCCAGCCCTCCAGACAGTTTTATAAACTTTTCTCATTTTTCTTCCTAGAGTCTGTTAGATTCTAAAACCGAAGGGAGTCTTTGAACCTTTATCCCGTAACCTCCCATGATCGAGTGACTGTCCATGCTCGGTTGCTGCCTCCCGAGTGGCCGGAGCCTGGACATCCCCAGGGCACTCTCGGCCCTGACCTCAGCCACCCTCTTTTCCTGATTCCTGCTCCTGCGATGTTCTGCTTTCTGCACATCACTCTGGCCACGGTTATTTAGTTTCCCAAAACAGCCCGTGGTTGCTCACGGTCCGCCTTCTTGGCTGTGACCAGAATCCTGTGTGGCCTCACAGTGCCCTGTCTTCTTTGCTGCTTCTTCTCCTGCTTTGCTCCAGCTAAAAGGAACCACTGGCTAGGGGCAGGTCCCTAGCAAACCAGAAAATGAAATGGACAAAATGCTTGATTTTGTTGCTAAGTATGAGGCCCTACCTCCTCCGAGCATGGATTCTGCATGCACCGCAGGGTGCTCTGGTCTGGGTGGACGGCAGCTTCCTATAAGTCATCTGCATCTTACAAAACATAGAGGAATTTGACATACTGTCCTCCCCCGAGGTTCCACTCCATTTACGTGTGTGTGTGTGTAACCTCTTACACACAGAGTCAGAAGCTTAAGAAAGACAGTCGGCTTTAGGATTCGATTGTGACAGGGATGTATTTAGTCTTTTGCTGGGATTTCCATGGGGTTGGACACCTCTCACCTGTTCCCTGAAGGAACCTATTGGTTAAATGGATATATTGTCAGCACTGGTAATAACTGTTTAGGTTTACCGGTGATTGAGAAAGTTTTTAAAATTGTGCAGTGATAAAAATAAAGCCCATCTTACTAAGTGCTTTGCAGCTTTAGACTCTACTGGAAAAAGTTCCTAGAAGTCAGTATTTCAGGACGATGAGAGGAAGGTAGAAAGAGCATCAGTAACATCTAAGGGAGAATTACTGATATAAGCCCCAAGCCCTGTTGCTGTTTAGGAAAAGCCACCCATGAAATAATGTAGCAGCAACCTGAGGGCTTTGTCAAAGGCCACCCACTGTGCTGTGGGGATGGATTAGGATGGTGGTGGAACAGAAGAGCCTCCGTGTTCTCTTTCCCTGGTAAGGGGATGTATACCCTCTAGAGTAGGGGTTGCCAAGCTGCAGCCCATGGTTCACACCCTGTTTCTTTTTAGATTATGGTTTTATATGTACATTTATATTTCTCACCCTGGCTCTTTCGAGATCCGTTCTCAACCCTGAGATTATACCACGGATAGTCGGCAACTGGTCTGATTCCTGAGTGACATCCTAAAAAGGCTGAAACACAAGCCAAAACCTGTCTTTCAAAACCTGTCCTTCCTCCCTCACTTTTAATATTCCAGACCAAGATGACACAAATGTTGGTCAATGTACATTTTTGCACTTAAAATAGGAAAGAGGAGAAGAGGAAGAGGAGGAAGAATTAATAACTGTTGTTCCAAAATGGAAAGCTACCAAAATCACGGAATTGGCCTTGTGGACACCAGCCCTCCCCAAGGAGCCGACCTCTACAGACGGACCTGGCCAAGAGGGTCCAGGAGCTGAGAGTGTGGGGCGCCCCTGGGCTGTGGGGTGGAGGGTGTGGGGCACCTTTGGGCTGTGGGACAGAGGGTGTGGGGCACCCCTGAGCTGTGGGATGGAGGGTGTGAGGTGCCTGTAGGCTGTGGGAGTTGTGGACATCCTGTTTTCAGGCCAGCTGTAGTTGGACTCTCTGAAAATCAGATGCTGGGTCAGTTGAGTGTGCGGGATGTTATTAGGGAGAGCCTTTGGGATTGGAGGACACTCCCAGGGAGCGGAGGGGAGAGGAAAGAAACAGGGTTGATTGGACAGAGGCAGAGGCGTGGCCTCCACAACCTTGCTTCATTCCATGGGGAGCACTGTGGCGTCCCGGGGACCTTTATCCCCTCACCTAGGTCAGTGAGTGAATGTGGGTATGACCCCAGGCTGGCACTGACAGCAGCTGGGGGGACAGTCCTTCCTTGAAGAAGGGTCCGCATGGTGCCTCCATGTCCAACCCAGTGGTCTTCCTGGAAGTCCTTAGCGTGCTGGGGAAAGTTGAAGGTGGCTACGCTGGGTGAGATCCCTTCCATGACAAGCGGAGGAAAGCCAAGTCCGATTGGCTCCGTGAAAGAACGCTCATGCTGCTAAGAATGTCTTGGCTCACGTGACTGGGAAGCTCGGGGACAGCCCACAGCATGGCCAGGCAGCCTCTGCCCTCTGTCCCAGCTCTCCTCTGTGCTGGCTCCTCTGGCTGGCACTCTCAGGAACCCCAGGGGACTTCTCTTTCTCAATAGTCTCATCAACACCCTCAGGAATGAAAGTTATCAGACCACCTGCTCCCATCCCTGAGCCACTGACTGCAGTGGGGCCTGGGTTGCTCCGCGGGCCAAGCCTGGGCTGGGCTGGGTGGATGTTGAGATGGGGAACACAAGGTGCTGCCAGTGGGAGGGGGAGGGTGGGGGCACGGCAGCCTCGGGGACAGCTGCCCTGCACAGGTCTGCAGGCTCCATTGTTCCCAGGAACTCAGGCTTCTGACCTGTGTTTTATCTCAGGTACAGGAGAACCTGGGGAGGAGGCCCAGGCTCTGCTGGAGGGCTTTGAGGGTGAGACGGACATGAGGCCTGGAGATGAAGATGCAGACGTCCTCCGGGAGGAGAGCCGGGAGTATGACCAGGAGGAGTTCCGCTATGACGTGGACGAGGGTGAGGTCCCTGCGCAGGGAAGTGGGGCGAGGGCCTGCCCACAGGGGCCATGAACAGTGGGATTCCCCTTCCCTCCACCAAGGTCTGCCTTCAGCTGGGCTCCAAGGACTTGGGGAAGACTTAGGGGGCCCCCTGTGAGCCCTCACTGGAGCCATCGCAAAATATTACTCCCTTGCACCCTCCTGCAAGCTAGGCTGCAGTGGGAATGGCCTGGGTGTGCAGCGGTGCCCATGCTCTTTATCACAGGAGGACCGCCCCCAGGCCAGAGAGCCCTGTCAGACATGCAAAGCCTGGCATTCTTTTCTTGCGTGATTTTTTTCTTTTTTCTTTTTTTTGAGACAGAGTCTCGCTCTGTCACCCAGGCTGGAGTACAGTGGTGCGATCTTGGCTCACTGCAACCTCCACCTCCCTGGTTCAAGCAATTCCCCTGCCTCAGCCTCCCAAGTAGCTGGGATTACAGGTGCATGCCACCATGCCCGGCCAATTTCTTTGTATTTTTAGTAGAGACGGGGTTTCACCGTGTTGGACAGACTGATCTCAAACTCCTGACCTCATGCAGTACACCCACCTCGGCCTCCCAAAGTGCTGGGATTTGCATGATTTTTAGCAGGGCTGATTCACCGGAGTGTGGTTTAAGATGAGTGGTGTTGGGAACTAGCTCTTTTTAAATGGGTTTGGATATAAGATTAATCTAGAAACTTCTGCCTCTGCCACCTCATAGGGCAGGGATCTGACCTCAGTTCTGACTGACTGAAGCTTCGGGTTCCTGGAATCTTTAAAAATCTTTCCCCAAGTGCTTGTGGGCACTTGCAGAAAGCCTGGAGAGAGGACTCTCTTCCCTTAACGCACTTTTCACATCTGACTGAAAGAGGGCATCATGGTTGTGAGGGAAAGGGCCGTCTGGGAACAGCCTGGGCATGGTGGCCTCGGGCACAGGGTCTGCAGTCCCATTCCACTTAGTTTGTCTCTGTTGTAAATTGAGAATATACTTCCCATTCCTTTGAAAATAATACCTGAAATAATGAAATCACATAAAGCGTTTTCTCTTAGATGCTTGAAGCACGCATAGACTTTCGCCATCGGTAATTGCCCTGAGCGCTGTAGCGACGCACTCAGTGAGGCGGTGCTGAGGCGCAACGTGGGGTCAGGTGGAAACCTGGCTTTGCCAGTGAGCATGGTCTCTGCTTCTCTGACTTGCACAGGGTGGACAGAGTGAGCCCCGGTGGGTAGGGGGTCCACAGGATTCTGTCAGGGCTGCGTGGCTAGAGTATGCACGGTGTCAGAGCATCATCCAGCTGTGCCCACAGATGTCAGTCCTGAGCCATGTGGAGCACAGCTGGAGGGGGAGACACTGGGTTTGATAGGCAGTGTGGAAGTGAGGGGCTGGGCTCTCACCCTTCAATACCTAATGGGAAGCTGGAATAAAGGAATCAGTGAGTTCCCTGCAGTGACAGGGACGTGTTACCATCTACGCAGGAGAGGTAATGACTCACCTGGGGCAGGACCAGGATACTCTGGGTTAGCTGGGAGGGAGGTGGCAAGGAATGGGTGAAACCAGGAAGGAAATTCCAGGCAGAGAGCAGAGTCTGACAGCAGAGGAGTGGGAGGTAGGGAGGTGGCCCCTTTCCCTTGGAACCGGATAGCCTTTGAACCTGATGCTGAGCCCAGTGGACGGGACCTCTGGGGGCTGTAGGGATTGCCTGTATCAGGCTTGCTTTCTGAGCTTCTCTGGGGCAATGAGGATTGGTACCCTGGAGCCAGACAAGGCAGGAGGCCCCAGAAACTTTGGTGGAGGAGATCATGGGGGGCCTGGAGCAGGAGGAATCCTGAAAACCAGACTGGGAGAGGTGGGACCCAGTGGATGATGCCCAGTACCAGCGGGCGTCTGAGACTGTGGGTTCATGCACCAGCCTTGGACAGAGGGAACACCCCCTTAACTCAGTGGTTTTGGGGGCTCCAGGGGACATTTGCAATGTCTGGAGACTTGGGAGGATGGTGAGGGAGATGCTGCTGGCATCTTCGTGGGTGGAGGCCAGGGACGGTGCTGAATACCCTTCAGGGCCCAGGACAGCCCCCAGCAAAGGGTCACCCAGGCCACAGTGTCAGGAGGGCCCTAAGTGAAAAGGGAGTAATACAAAATAGGCTTAGTTGGCAGAACATTTATCAAAATAATCCAAGTTCAACATGTATTCATCATGAATCCCACATTACATTGGAGACCTACCCTACTAATTTCTTCTTTAATATACCCAACAGTGAAAGTTATAGAGTTTAATTAATAATAAAAAATAACTCCACCTTTCACAAAACACTTAAATATAGCATCTTATAAGAATGTGGCAAATTTCTGCTTTTTTTTTTGAGATGGTGTCTTGCTCTGTCACCCAGGCTGGAGTGCAATGGCGCGATCTCAGCTCACTGAAACTTCTGCCACCAGGTTCAAGTGATTCTCTTGCCTCAGCCTCCCAAGTAGCTGGGTTTACAGGCATGAGCCACCACGCCCAGCTAATTTTTGTATTTTTAGTAGAGACAGGGTTTCACCATGTTGGCCGAGCTGGTCTTGAACTCCTGACCTCAAGTGATCCGCCTATCTTGGCCTCCCAAAGTGCTGGGATTACAGGCGTGAGCCACTGTGCCCAGCCTGCTTTTCTTTTAATTAACAGCCAAGCAATTACATGTTTTATCCACAAAGCTGGCTGTTTTGGACAGGTGTGCAGGCGTAAGAGGATTACTGATGTTACTGAGGATAGTCTTGTCTTAGCATTTACTTTGAGTATGTATTTTACTTATTTTATTTCTAGTACCAAAAGAAAAAACTGTTGAAATGCATATGAGATAAAATTTAACATTCCATTTTTGACTGATAAATGCTTAATAGTTATAATAATTTTTTTTTGGCAAAAGATCTGTTAGTGAATAAAGACTTTAAAAAATAGAACAAAGTAAATATGTGATATATTCATGTTTCTCTTTTCTTTTCAGGAAACATTAATTCTGAAGAAGAAGAAACTAGACAGTTGGACCTCCAGGACTAAGATGAAGTGAGCCGAGAGGAGACTGTGTCATAAGAATGCTTCTGTTATTAGCCGGGCGCGGTGCTGTGTACATGTAGTCCCAGCATTTCGGGAGGCTGAGGCAGGAGGATCGCTTGAGTCTGGAAAGTTGCAGTTGCCGTGAGCCGAGACCCTCGCCACTGCACTCCAGCCCGGGTGACAGAGCGAGACCCTGTCTCAAAAAATGAACAAAAACAAAATGCTTCTGTCAGTTAACAATCTTTATTAGAGGATTTTTAGTCTCTCTTTCTCAGCTGTGTGTTAAGTTGGTTTACAATAGCAAATAAACCTCTTTATTATCCTTTCTTTCTGAAATAGCCTCTGCTTCAAGTTTTGTAAACTGAAGGTTACCAGGTGGTTTTGCCACGGCTTCTCAGTGGTGTCTTCTCCTTGGATGCAGAAAACTGTAGCTCTGCGGGAGACGGTGAATGGAAGTCTGGCTTCTGGCTGAGCTGGGAGAGTAATTCTGTACCCAAACCTCTCTCTCAGATTTCCCACAAGGGAGGTAGGAAGCACTTAGAACACGAGGATTGCCATATGCAATGCTCCTCAAATGCAGCGTGATGCGTACACGGCTGGCTCGGGTAGGAGATAGCCCGCTGCCCTACAAGGCTTCCTCCCACTCCTTCCCCTCTCCGTCTGGAGCCCAGGCCACTGTGGGGGGCCCTGCAGGTGGCTGGGGAGAAGGGCCGCCCGCAGGCCAGGCTTTGGCCTGTTTTGCACACGCTTCGGTTTCTTAGTGTGCTGGAGGCTGCCACCTGCACCTCGTTCACATTTCTGGAGGACTGTCTCAGACTCGGCCTCTCCTTTCTCTCCCCAGCGCCAGGCTGCCCCCTTCTTCCTGGGCAGGTAAGCAAGCACCTCCCAGGGGAGCCCGACTCCCCATCTTGCATGGCTCTGCTTCACGCACCCTCCCCTCCCCTGAGTTACCCAGAGGGCAAGTGTCGTCAGTTCACCCCAAAATGTCCTTTCGAGTTGGTTTAACAAATGTCAAGGACATTTTCAGTTCATCCCTGATATCTTCAGTTCACCCTGAAACAGCTCACCCCAGACACTATCAGTTCACCCCAAAATGTCCTTTAGAGACATAATCTGGGGGCTATGTCTCTAAACAGGGGGCATGTGGAGACAAAAATGGCTCCTTCTTGGATGCTAACCCACCACGTTGACGTCTGCTCGGCCCCAGTCCCATGAACACCTCCTGGTTTCCGCTTTATCTTCTGTCTCTAGTGTAAGAACGTGTCAATCCTGACGTTACCGCACAAATTAGAGGCCATAGTGCACATGGCATTCTTGCTGTCCTGAAGGTTGCCTTTGTCTTGCTGAAGCGTGTATGCTCTTTCCCTGTGGTATATAAGCCCCGGGTCTGGGGAGTAACAGCGCAGAGAGTCATCTGTCCTGTGGCTGCCCAGGGTTACGCTTCCACGTGTGACTTCCCCAATACATCAACCCATACTGACAAGCTGGATTTGTCTGCCTTCTCCTTTGGTTTCTTGGCTCCTTTGGCATTTGGGGACTACTTTGCATACATGGCCCTTTCATGGAACAGGGCCTCCTTAGACAAAGCACACAAGCCCGGTGTGGTGGCATGAGCCTGTAGTCCCAGCTACACGAGAGGCTGCAGCTGGAGGACTGTTTGAGCCCAGGAGTTTGAGTCTAGCCTGGGCAAAATAGTGATACCCATCTCTAAAGAAATAAATTTTTTTTTTTTTTTTAGATGGAGTTTTACTCTTGTTGCCCAGGCTGGAGTGTAATGATGTGATCTTGGCTCACTACAACCTGTCCCAGGTTCAAATGTTGCTCCTGCCTTAGCCTCCCGAGTAGCTGGGATTACAGGCGCCAGCCACCACACCTGGCTAATTTTTGTATTTTTAGTAGAGACGGGGTTTCTCCATGTTGGCCAGGCTGGTCTCGAACTCCTGACCTCAGGTGATCCGCCCACCTCAACCTCCCAAAGTGCTGGGATTACAGGCGTGAGCCACCATGCCCGGCTTAATGAAATACATTTAAAAAAAAAATCTAAAAAAGAAAGAGCATACAGCATTATGAATATAAAATTAGGTTAAAACAAATGTTTATTTAGAATAGGAAAATAAATTATAATAAAATTACAAATGAAAAGTGGATAAGCAGCACAAAATCTAGAAAACTATTAGAATATTGTTATTAATTCACTGCTTAATACAACTCTGTAATACGTCTTTTCCTGCATTTTTTTTTCCAGCATACCCTTTGATTACCTCTTTTTACGACAATTTTGTAATATTTTGTATAGGGATATTAGCAAGATAATTACGCTGTTTCTTTAGGGTGGTTTTTTCATTACTGATAATTGAGGGGCATAAAACATTCATCTTCACATACAAACATAACACCATGCACAAAACTGCTACAGGATTGCGAATGACAAACAGGCATGCTGATAAATCCAATTGCAGGTGATTCTCATCCAAAATTAGATATGATAGGGGCAGGGCACTGTGGCTCACATCTGTAATCCCACCACTTTGGGAGGCTGAGGTGGGCGGATCACTTGAGGTTAGGAGTTCGAGACCAGCCTGGTCAACATGGTGAAACCTCGTCTCTACTAAAAGTACAAAAATTAGCCAGGAGTGGTGGTGGGTGCCTGTAATCCCAAGTACTCAGGAGGCTGAGGCTTGAATCCGGGAGGTAGAGGTTGCAGTGATCTGAGATCACGCCACTGCACTCTAGCCTGGGTGACAGGGCAAGACTCAATCTCAAAAAAATATATATACATATATATACACACACATATATATACACATATATACACATACATATATACGTATATATATACACACATATATACATATATACATACACACATATATATACGTGTATATATACACACACACGTATATATATGACGATATGATATGATGGGCTGGTCATGGTGGTTTACTTCTGTAATCCTAGCACTTTGGAAAGCTGAGTGGAGGATTACTTGAGCACCAGGAGTTCAAGACCAGCTGGGCAGCATAACAAGACCCCATTGCTACAAAAAGTACAAAGATTAGCCTGGCTTCCCAGCTACTCAGGAGGCTGAGGCAGGATGATCACTTGAGCACAGGGGGTTGAGGCTGCGGTGAGCCGTGATCACACCACTGCACTCCAGCCTGAGCAATAGAGTTGAGACCCAGTCTCAAAAAAGAAAAAAAAAAAGTATATGATGTATCATCATGCCCCTGACAGGAGATATTCTGGTTAGAAGCAGCCATCAGTGTACTGTTACAGTTTTCCACGTTGGATGATTGAAATAATCTCCATAGGCCAGCTTCTGACTCGGTGCACTTCGAACCTAGTTTCTTCTACACTCCCACATGCAATGTTGCTGGAGCTGGAGGACAGGGTCATCCTGGGATTTGACCTTTGATCCTGCACTTACATGTCTCCATTCTAGGTAAGTAGCAAAATCGGTGTTAGAAGTATTTCTGGAAGTGATACTACTCCAGGACAGGTGGCAGCAACTGTACTACATATGAAAATTACTGCAAACCAGTGGCATATACAAATACTCTCCAGAACCCAGACACCCACATCTACCCTTGATTCGATTTAATCAGTGCCCCCTGAAACAGATTCGAAAGGTGCCTGTGGCCACTTCAATGCCCTTCCACCTGAGGGGACACATGTCTGATTGAAATTAAAGGTGAAAGTGGCAGAGGCACGATTATGGTTAAAATGCTTCACTTCTGCAAAACAGATGAAACACAGGACCGGGTGGACACCCTGTCTGGACCTTGGAAGGGGCCTGTGCCTGTGCGGAGTCTGAAGCTGGAGGCTGGCGGCTTCGTGGAAATCCCTGCACCCCGTTCTTTTCATTCGGTGCAGTCCCTTTCATGTTGCTGGCTTTGAAGGAACTGGGCGGGCTGCCTGGCAGAATATCTCACCTTCTGGGCTTATCTGGGCTCTCTTGTTCTTCAAGCTCTGGGCACTTCTTACTGCCAAAGAAGCTAGAGCTAAAGGTTTGGTGGATTCACGGTAATGTTCTTAGCTGGAATTCACATTTGTGGTGCTACAGACTTCCTCCTTCATTACAGCCTAAGGCATAGCCCATCTGTTTGATCCACTGTTAGCAGTTAACCCCAGATAATGATCAGGGCCTGATAATTTTGGGGTCATGATTCAGCCCACGACAAGTATGGTTTGCGAGATGGTGTTTCGGAACAACTCCACTGTTCCTTCTGAATTTATTAGGCTGTAAATCATGGATTTCTTTGGTTCCCATGAAATGCAGCTCCTCCTAGAAAAACAGAATAAAACCTTTCATTCTTTCCCTTGAATGACCAATTTTATAAGCGAGGTGTTAGTTTAGCAGATGCTTCAAAGCTGACAAGTCCCTTTGTTCTGGATCTTTTTTGTATAGTCACCATGGACCCATGGATGTTCACTGAGTCAAGGCGTTTCAATCCACTCCAATCACTTTCCTTTATGACACACAGACAGACACAGCTTTGGCCAGTGGTAGCTTCTTCATGCCACTGTTTTGTCCTGTTGACAAGACTCCATTGGTTCTTGAGAACTTCAGTACTTTTTAGTGTGTTTGATGTTTTGTAATTTATTTTTGTATAATTTTGAACTTAAAGAAAACTTGCAAGAGTAGAGAATGAAACTCCTCTATACTTCTTAACCAGACTCAGCAATTATTTGCATCTTGCCCCATTTGCTTTATCATCTTGCTGAGAGACAGACAGAATAGCATGTAGAGAACATATAAATACACAGTAGACCTACACCATTTCTTCACAACCTTTTGAGTATGATATGCCTATTTCAGTATCTATTTTGTAAAAACAAGGATATTCTCATATAACTATAGTATAATTGTCAAATTAAGAAATTTCACATTGATATAATTTTTGTAATCCATATTGCATATTCACATTGTATCAGTTGCCCCCATCGTGTCCTTTTTAGCTAATATGAATGGCATTGGGCATTCATTCATGTACTTATTGGAT